AAAACAAGAAAGTAAACTTGAATCGGTCAGGAAGTGCCACTTTTGCAATAATAAAAAAATTCCAAATCAGATTGACAATCAGTAACAGCTTGTTCCGGGACGCTTTATAACCCATAGTGTGAACTTCATATATGAAACATCCAGTAAGTACTCTGTTTCACAATTTCCAAAATTTATAACTCTCAGAAAAAATCCACAGGACGATCTTATTAACCCCCTCTTCTTTCTTGTACAGTGATATGATAGAGTTGTCAGCCTGCTCTTATTTCCATGGACTAAACCTTTTTACATGACCATTCGCCTGAATGGGAATCTCGAGTTTTAAAGGAGTCCCTCATCTCAGAGGGACTTTTGTTGATGGGCGGGAATACTTCTTGTATACTTTTACCTAAGTTTTGTCATTGTTAAAACCTACATAGTGAAATTACAGCCTTTGATGAAACTATTTTTAAAAAGGATAAAGGCTGATAGTTTCGAAAGAAACTGTTTGGGGCTGCGTCGGTGGGAGTAACGAAATAATTTGGATATATCAACAAAGTTGAAGTGGTAAATTGGCCACCGTAACGATTACAAAAGCTGACGTTTCGAGCGTTAGCCCTTCGTCGGAGCGAAACGTCAGTTTTTGTAATCGTTACGGTGGCCAATTTACCACTTCAACTTTGTTGATATATCCAAATTATTTCGTTACTCCCACCGACGCAGCCCCAAACAGTTTCTTTCGAAACTATCAGCCTTTATCCTTTTCTTCTAACTTAGCTTTAAATCTCACCTCTTTAGCAATTTTTTGTTTTGCATTTCGATATCAATTTTTTTATTCTCCATTGCTGCCTCGTATTGTGCTATCTCTGATACCTGTTTTGCCATGAGTTTCTTCAATTCTACATTTTTCTTCAGTTCCCTCAGTTTTGAAGATTTCGAAGATCTTGATGACTTCGACTTAGTTGAAGTTATCGGTGACAATTTTGGTTCCCCATTGGAGGATTTTAAACTATTCTTTGAAGAGTGATCTAATTCAACATCTCAGGATCTAATTCAACATCGTCGATCTCGCCCCCATGCACATTCGTCTCTATGTCGCCTTTATCCATTTTTTTTCCGGCATACATTCGAATGTTAATGTAGTCGCTAGTTTCACACGTTATTTCTTAGCTCACAATCGAGATCAATTTTATGATTCGAATGTATGAGCCTTTGGGATCCGCAACAACGCTAACTGAAAACTTCAACAACCAACATGTCCGGCTGAAAAAAAACATAACGTTCCACGTGTTTTCTCCTCGCTCGCTATGCCTTATG